CAAAATGTTTTGCAAAGTTCTGGCTACCCTAATAAGTTACTTGTTTTACTTTTAAGATGTAGTCAGACAAACATTTTCATACAGATGTGTACCCAAATTATTAAAAAAAAGTAAAAAAAGAATTGTCTTAAAATGCCAACCAGTTCAGATTTTATCGCTTATAATGTTGTTGGGGTTTTTTTCCCTTGCAGGTCTCATTCATCAGTTCATTAATCATACATGTACCATAAATAACATTAATATCTTGTGTTTTATAATCTTAACCCCCAAATATAGTGCTAATCACAAGATATGGAGTGATGAGGCTTTGAAGAATGCTGTATACTCTCATATATACAACTTCTGTATTTATGGAATGGAGTGGTGATGAGTTCACGTGGGCATGAACTCAAAGTGAAGTAAAGCAAAGCTGATGTTTCAGTAATGTGAGACTTTTTCTCTGATTTTAGAAGAATATACTTAACCAATGAGGTTGTGAACAGACTTTCTTACTGATATCACAAGTGACCAGGCTAGCAATATACACAGAATAAGAACTGTGCACACGAGGGGTCATACAGTAGTTGTATCATAACTGGGAACTGTTGGTAGGTACATTTCACAAAATTGGTGCTATCTGGATTTCTCTTATATTTGTAACAATTTCAGCACAGAAACTGTTGGCTGCAGGTGCTGCAAAGTACAGTATGCACAGAAATTCCTGGGACACAGGAGGAACTTGCTGTCTACTCACTTATTGTTTTCTCTCTTGCTATATTTAGCAAAAAGGCAAGACAAAAAATTATGGAATTAAAATTTATTTTAAAAAATCAGTTTAGAGGTGGTTTGCACTTAAGAAAAAATATTGTTTATTTTCAGTGTTAAAATGTTAAAATGGCTTAATATCTAAATGGAATGCTGTAATCAATGTTTTAATTCCTGTTCCATAGTTTCTAATGCATGTCACTGTGGGACCTGTGGTATTGGAATATAATTCTCATCCATTAGAATAAATGCATTTCCCATGATTACAGCACTCTGAAGGCAGGACAAAAAAATGTGCAGTTTTTTAATGAGATTAACATTGGGAAGTTTATATCCTTTCTTGGACACCAAGAAATGTTTTTTGGTGGCATTATCAGTTTTCTACAAAGCGTCTCTTAAAGTGAGGAGGTGTTTTGTTCCTACAGTTCTTGGCTTCTTTGTACCAAAACTGCTGTCTTGTTTAATGACATTGCTATGTGGGCTGAAATTAGGCTGACAGATTGTGAGCAAAGGCTGTGATATTACAAACAATAGTCTATTGAGCACAAGGAACTTGTTGAATTAGTTACCGGAGGCATTAGTGCTCAGTCCAGCCTCTTTAGCATCTGGAAGACAGAGAAGAAATAGTGGGCTAATGAAATGTCCAAATGACACCAAATTGCAGAGGGCTGCAGGTGACAATGGCAGCTGACGTGTGACTGGTAAGAGGCAAAAACTAATAACAAACCAATGAACTCACAAAAGGAAAAAAAAAGTGCATTAGGAAGGAAGGGAAGGAGTTAGGAAGGAGTTAGGAAGGAGTATTCAAATCAAGAGAGAAAGCCGTGTTGGGGTTCCTGAGGAATCAAGCACACAGATGATTACATTTTAAGGGCTCTGCTGGATTTGAGATGGGTTTTCCAGAGCAGACTGGATAGCGGTGGCTTCAGCACACCAGTTCTTCACCATCCATGATTCCCCTGACATCAGTACAATTCTCCAGTGCGAGTTTAGGGATCTTGAGAACCCTGTAAAGCAGTTCTGAGTGGGTCATCTGTTCCCCATCCAGTTCAGGTTAGCTTGATGTTGAAACTGAATGTGCAAAAGATCAAAATCAAGGTCTCATTTTGCTCTGTTTTAATTATTCAATTAATAATCGTTTAGTTTCTTATGCCTTGCAGTACAAGTTTTTAATGGTCTTTGAACTTTAAGTATGAATTTAATTGCTTCTGTGTCCTTCTTTGGGAGTAATTCCATCAAAATTTGCACCTCTACTCTGTGCTGCAGATAACTTAATCCATATCTGGAATTGCTGGGATTTCTGGGAGGCATGTATATTAGTTTATCAGTTGACAAGATGGACCTAGCCCACCATCTGTGTTCATGCAGCCCGCTGCCTTAACCCTAGAGAATCTGCCAGGATCACATGCACAGCTCAGCTGAAGTGAATTCACACACCAAACCTTGTCCAGGGAGATCTAAATCTGTGACCTGTGATGCAACTGGAATCTAAACTTTCAGGATGAATACCTTGGACTACCTAAATCCTGAAATATCCAAGGAATATTATTAACCCAGCTATGTCATTTATTCATGACATTTAGTGAAAAATAAAACAAAACTAAGTCACTTAATTAAAAGTATTACAACGGAATAGCTTGGTTTTACCATTCCTTTTTCCTTTGGATAATAATCTGTAGGAAATCTCAGTTTACATTCACATTTGAGTTCAGTTGTTAATAAGGGATGGGTCTGACCCCTGTGGCAGAATATGCATTTAGATGTGTCGGGGACTTCAGCTAAAGCCAGGAGCTGAGGTGGGTTGGCTTTGCCCACCCAGTGCTCTCTCACCCCCACTCCTCACCAGGACAGAGGTGAAAATGAGGTGAAAAAGCTCCTGGGTCAAGGTGTGGACAGGGAGGGCACTCACCTGCTGGCAGAACTCTCTGCTCTGGGGAGACTCATTTATTGCCAATTAAAATAGGTTTGCATAGTAAAAATCAAAGAGAAACCAATGTCTTCTCCCTGCCCTTCCCTGTTTCCCAGGATCATCTTCCCCACACAAGGAGCTGTGCAAGGAGCAAGGGCTGATCCTTCCTTGCTCCCCTTCTCCACTCTGGGCCTTTTCCCTTCTCAGGACTGCAGTCCTGTCAGGAGCACCTGCTCCAGCCTGTGTCCTCTGTGGGTCAGTGCTCCTCCAGGAGACACCAACCTGCTCCAGCCTGTGTCCTCTGTGGGTCACTGCTCCTCCAGGAGACACCAACCTGCTCCAGCCTGGGTCCTCTGTGGGTCAGTGCTCCTCCAGGAGACACCTGCCTGCTCCAGCCTGTGTCCTCTGTGGGTCACTGCTCCTCCAGGAGACACCAACCTGCTCCAGCCTGGGTCCTCTGTGGGTCAGTGCTCCTCCAGGAGACACCAACCTGCTCCAGCCTGGGTCCTCAGTGGGTGACTGCTCCTCCAGGAGACACCTGCCTGCTCCAGCCTCTCCCCACAGGACACAGGGCTCTCTGCCCAGCCTCCCAGAGCATCCCCTTCCCGGCTCCTCCTCAGTTCTCCTCAGGCTCCCTTGCCCCGCTCTCTGTGCAGGATTTTGCCCTTCGGTGGACACATTTTCACCAGCTGGGCTGAGGGGCTGGGCTGTGCCATGGGTGAGGCTTTCTGGAGCCGTCTGGGAATGTCAGGAACAGTCTGGAAGAGGCAGGGGCAGCGCAGCCTCTCCAAGAGCCAGGCCTGCAGCTCCACTGCCAGCACCTGGGCATGGACACCCACCATGGCAGGTGACATTATTTGTGTTTGGCAGAGGCATTCTGGATTTGCAATAGAGCTGTTTTTTCAAATATTTCCAATGCCAAGTGTCTCCTTGAGGCGAGCCCTCAGGAACAGATTGAGAGCTTGGAGCAGAGGGAAGCAGTGGAGAGAATTTTCTTCTGAAAAGAAGGATGTGGGTAGGAAAGTGGAGGATAACATTAAAAATAGAGAAGATTAAACATGTTCCATTAGTAAAGCCAGAAACAATTTAGGATAAGGTAGAAACCCTGGAACTGTATTGATAAACAGAATTAAAAATGTCTTTTTCCCTCTTCTTTTCCAGCCCAGAGCAGCAGATCAGCTGAATTATGCTGCTCATGCTGGTATTGAGCAATGTATTGCCAGAGAACAGTCCTATTGACTGCAGTGGGACTTGCTGAAGAGGGAATAATTTAGCTCAAATAACCTTATAAATACACATTAGCACCCAACAGTATATTTCCAACCCAAGAAGATATATCTAACCCCCGAATATATTTGAAACCATAAACCCAAGTTTTCAGTGCTACTTTTAAAAAAGAAATATAATTTAGCATGTGAGCTAAAACATGGCCCTGTCTTATAAGATGAGATGGGTTTTGGATTGGATCAGGAAAATGTAAAGTCTTATTTTTGTAGTGTATAAATGAAATGGACAGTCTAAACCCTGTCTCTAAAAATCTTGGCACACTTCAAAGGAAATATACCATTTTAGCAATTTAAAAGCAGTTAGTGGGTTTTTCCAGTGCTGAACTTCATTTCTATAGCTGGTGTGGTTGCCTGCTGAATAATGCCATAGGGGACAATGTAGCTCTGACTATATTTAAAAATACTATTCCATGAAATTCACTGGGAACAAGCTGAAGCAAAATCTCATTTGTGTCTTTGGAAGGAGGTGATAGTGGCTGTAAACGGTGAAGGAGAAGGATTGAGATAGTTTTTGAATCACAGAAGAGATGAAGGCTGGACCGTCTTTGGGGAGAGAGGGATGCTTAGAGCAACAGCCAGAGAAGGCAGGCAGGAATCTGGAGACTCTTTAATGATACAGGGACTTGAATACAAGCAACAATTGGAAGGAAAGAAATCCTAACAGGTGGGGACTAAAAGACGTGCAGAGACATCATTAGAGAGGTGAAAAAAAGAAAAAAGGAAACAATTAAAAGGATGTTAGAACACATAATTGGAATATTCAGATAAGAGGAGACAAAAGGTCAATTTAATTGAATAATAAAGATCTGTGTTTTCTTCTTTTTGGTGTACTCATATGCATGTAGCTTACTGCTGCATATTTTATTTTATGACTACAATGAAGCCTTTAACAATAATTCTGAACTACCTTTAGAAACTAATTCTGAACTGCCGTAAGACCTATTTTACTTGTATATTTTAACCAACGGAGGTAGAAATTTTAAAAACTTTCCTCAGTGTTGTTCCTGGAGAGTTGATCAGCCGTTCATTAAAACTCATCCTGTTTCATCTATTCTTGGCAGGGAACCTTGGGCGGGTGGACCACGTCACAGAGTTTGAGTATGATCTCTTCATTAGGCCAGACACCTGCAACCCACGCTTCCGAGTCTGGTTCAACTTCACCGTGGAAAACGTGAAGGAATCTCAGGTAAGTGATAATAAATGAGATGGTATGCTAGCTTCAAAAATTGCTTACTCCAGTATATGTTTTCTTTAATAAAAAAGATGACACCCCAGATTTGCAACTAAAAATTTCTTTAAAATGTATCTTTGTTCTTTGAATTTTTTATAAGCAAAAGCAGGTATCTTCAGGAGTGGGTATGACCATGCTTTTCAGCTGTCCAAGACAGGAGGTAATTGCAAAGGTAGTATAATTTTTGCCAAATAACAGAACTGGTATTAATAATGGCTGCCATGTATTTGTGCTTTTGCATTCTAACCAAATATGTGTGTTAATATAGGAAAAAGAAGTCCATCATAGCTGTTCAAATATTATCACTCAAGCCTTCATTTAATGCCTGTAGAACAATGGGGTAGCTGTGCAAACAGGCATTTCCCCAGTGACTTGTAGCAGAGGAGTTGCTTGCCAACGTGTCCCTTGTGAAAGAGGAGGTTTAAATGTGAAGCAAATTGATAGGCAACTGTTTCACTTACTTTTAAATAATGTTTTTTGCAGTAAAGATGTCCCTTGAGAAAGAAACTTCCTCGTTCTATCACTGATAAAAGTTATATACTAACTTTCACATTGAAAAATTTAAAAAAAAATCTTTTCACTCTTCACATGTGCCTTGAATTTTGTTCTGGTGACCTGCCTTAGTTTATCAGAATCAGTCTGTCATTTTTGCTTAATGGAAATAAAGCATGTTTAGTAAGAGAAAAAAACTGCACAGGCTTGATAGTTGTATTCCTACGAGACTAATATCTTAATATCCAGCACTGTATCGTTCCTGTTACAACTGGAAATCATGAAATTGTTTATCTATCATCCTGGAGCCTGATACTTTATCAGACAGACCCTTTCCCCTGCTGTGCCTTACTCAACTCTGATCAAATTATATAGTCATGAGATGAATGGGAATCTGTCTCAAGGAGGCAAAGAGATCGGGTAGAAAGATACAATATATATCTAGTGCTTACAGGATATTTGTTTTCATGGTTGTCTACATGAAAGAGAATGGTTCCACTATTAAGTTTGACTTGTGAGGTCTGTTTTTATAATGTGTGCTCCTATAATCTTTTTCTCATCTCTCCAATTTCCGTTAAAATGAGACCTGCCTGGATGTAATCTAGTCTGGAACCTTTTTTAGGTCTTTGTACTACAGGCCATGGGCAGCATTAGTCATTGCAGCTCAGCTATATTAAATGAAAGTTAGAAGTTGCTACATCAAACACACTGTGTAATGTAGTTTGTTTCCTGCATTTGGATTATTTTATGTTTTACTAGAAAACAGTAACAAGGAAGCCCAGAGTATTCAGTGTTGCTTCAAAATGTTGCACTAATACAAATACAGAGGACCTTTGATCGTGTTATGTGTAAAAGTAGATATTTTAATATCTCTCTATAAATCATTACCTGGATAATATTGTATTTATTTTTGATATATCATATAAGTAATGGGTGAAGAAGGCACATCTATACATTTATATATATTAGGTCTGGTTTCAGCCTTTTGGATAAGGACTCACAAAGAGTAGCTACTTTTGTTTTTTATATTACCTATTAGTACAGAATTTTGTTTTATTAATCTACTGATAAATGAAAAGAAAGACCAATTAGACATTCCAGCTAATCTTACTGTCCATGCATTATTCTATAAGAAAACAGGTTCTTTTCATTCTTCTGGTTTTAATTTTCTTAAGTCATAGAGCTTCCATTTCCTATGTCTCAAAACTGTTTTATAGACTCCTCTCACTTACAGTGTTGCTTGATTTTTAGCCTAAAGCTTTCCTTTATTTAATCCCACAATTCCCAGTTGCAATTCTGCTTAGTAATAACTCCTCTTGGTACAAATAAATCCTCATCATCCCTGACTAACATTTATATTTCTGTGAATTATAACATTCCTCATCATTTCTGTGTCAACCTAGCTATCATGTTTGGTTCTTTCAGCCCTATATCCAACAGACCACTTTACCTTTTAAGTATTTTTCCACTTTGGGGCCTTTGGACTTTCATCATAAGTGAATCTTTCAGTCCTTTGATAATTAGCCCAGTTTCCCAAGGAAGTAAAGCTTATATGATCACACTGTCTGCTTGCTAGCCTAGGTGTTTGTATGGCTGCTGATCCTTCTCCTCTCTTTTCTCCTTCAATAGCTTCTTAACTCTTGGCTAGTTTCAGCACCACTGGACAGGAATTCCTGTAAGTTTTGGGAAAACAGGCTGCCAGATGGGCAAGAGACCCATTAGTGTTCCCACTGGCAGACAGGCTATAGTATGAGATCATTTCTTATTAAACATCAGAGAATCCACAGAGGAGATGAATAGGAGAAAATACTCATTGGAATTTGCATTTTTAAGATACCAGAGAATCCAACCATGAAATCCAAATCCATAGCATTTAGTAATTTTGCTTCTTGAAGAACTTCTTGTTTTTATTATTATTCTTCCTCTTCCAGTTCCTTCAATATTTTCTTTATAGTGCGGAACTAAAATTTAATGGATAATTCTGAGTATGCTAATCCCAATTTACAGAGAAGGGGCTTGAGTCCCTTTGCTCTGTTACTGCCTCACTGTAGACAGCTGGAAATTGCAGCAACCTTTTGTTGCTCTATCACTATGGAAACTCAGGCCTAATTTGTTTTTTCCCTATCATACAGAAGTCTTTTTTAGAGTGATTGCTTCCTTGCTCCTGTTACGTATGTCTGAGGTTACTGTTGTGCTTCATAGGTAATAGAGCTAAGCTCTGTGCCATGCCAGTGACAGCCCTAATATTTCCAGAATTATTTTTAGAATTTTATTATAAACTTGGTTTATTTGATGTTCACTTCCTGACGTTGAAGTAAAACCAACAGACTTTTTTTTAATTTGGAAGATGGTAAATTAATTTCTTCCTCCTTATGATTTGGGCTTCTACATCAGACATTTTTTGTTGTCAGTTTTATTTATACTTTTTTAACTAGGAAAAAAGATTTTTAAAAAAAGGCTAATGCCTAATATTTACGGGGGAAAATGAGCCATCATGTAAGATACCGGCAAGATGTAAAATTTGGTCTTTTGGTCTCCTTACGTGGTTTCTGACTTGGTACTCAGTTGGTCTGAAAAGATGTGAGCTATGATTATTTTTTGTTACTTGTTTGGTGAATTCAATTAACACCAATATTGGAAAAGAAAAAAAGAAACTGATATGTTATATGTAAGGAAAACACATAGTCTTTTATGATTTACACATATCCATGAAAGGCAGAGTGAAGGAAATAGGATTTGCTGTGGAACACATGGTCTCATGGGCAAAGCCTCCAATTTCTCTAATTATATACGTGTCACAGGCTGCTCTCTATTCCTGATAATGCTCTTTACTGGGCAGGGGTTGCTTCCTATTCACTTCAGCCAAGGCCCTTCAAACACCATCTATGATTTTGCTAAATTTCTTCTCTGCGCAGTCGGAAATTGGATGAACAAATTTCATCTCCCAATTGCATTTCAAGTATTTTAAATACACAGTGCTTCAGGTGCAAGATTGCCTCTGAGCTAGAATGGCTTTAATGCTATTACTAGCAACAGTGATTCATTTGAGTCATTTGAGCTTTTTGGGAAAAAAAAAAGAGAAATGTGTGTACGTGTGATAAATTATAAAAAATATGCTGGTATACCGATATTGGAGGATTTTACAGGTGAAAAGAATGATTATTGTTTTTGAGGGCTATAGCCAGAAATTCTTCTCAAGTGCTTGACACTCACTGTTCCAGATACTGTAACAACACTGGAAAAAGATGATCTTTGTCCTAGAAAATTTTCTTTTGAGTAATTTGAGAAGAGATAAGAGTTAAATACAAGAAAGCGATGAAAGGATTAAAAATATTTGATGATTTTTGATTTAACGCACAGCAGCCATATTACACCACTAACTAATGCACATCTAGGCCTCATGACAAATTCTGTGTGTGTGTGTACCCTGAGGAGCTCTGCTGTCTGATGAATCATGTTGAGAAATGGTATTTTCACTGAGATTAAAAAAAGAATTTCCAACAGAAGGGGTTTCCTAATAGTGCCAAATTTTGTTCTGTAAGTGTTGATAAACACATTTGGAGTTCTTCATCACAAAGGTACTGACAAAATATACCAAGAAGGATAGAGGAGAAGAATGGATATTTGGCAGCTAGGACTTGATCATTACTTACAGTTAATAAATCAATCCAGATTGAGGTTAAAATCAAAGAACCAAATGTTATTTACTTCAAAGGCATTTTCTCTGTTACTTAGTTGCTGTTGGACTGAAACTAGAATTTTGACTCATGAATTTTTTTGGGTTTTTTATATGTGAGTATGGACCAGGAAAAAGGATAACCTGTTCTTCAGAATTTTAAACAGGATGCCCAGGTAAGACAGAGGTTATCATAGCTGGACATTATTAATAATGCATGGAACTGTCATTGTAGAATTTTATGGTGTTTTGTTCTGCACTGTTTTGTAAAATATAAAAGGCTGTAAGATGTCTGTTGTCTTTAATTGATTAGAAATTCAGGAAATATTTGTTATTGACAGTGGATTTTATAATATGTTCAGGCCTCTTTTTACTGTCCTCAAACTACTCAGTGATCCTTAGCAGACAACTGCTTCTATATAATGCTACAGCTGTGATTGTTTAAAGATATGAGTGATACGTGTATTGGGAGAGATAATGTCTCTTTATGCCAGCTGACACATTTTGGAGAAGCAGTGAGGAAAAAAGAAAAGCAGGCATAATTTGAGGTACTCAACCTTTTTTTCTGACCTAAGAACTCATTCAGTGCAGTTAATTCCTGCAGAAGCTGCCTCCAAAGTAAGATGGAGTGAATATGACATCAAAAGCAGGCTAAAGTTGGAAACAGGCTACCTTTTTACTTTCTTCTTAAGCAGACATGCTTTGCTCTACTGTCATTTGGGGATTTAAGTTGCTGGTATCAAGATGCTTTATAACATCTTATACTCTTTCCATCTTCTCATTTGAG